GAAAAAAAATTCAATAGTAAATTTTCATAGGGGTCCATATATAGTTTTGATTTAATTAGTTGACCGCTCACCCCAATACTTCATCCCAAAATTCACCTAAAAAAATATTATTTACATTAAGAGTTTTCGGAGAGATTTGCGCTATTATAGTCGAAAAGACGATTATTGACATTTTAATAAAGGGGTCTGGTACGTTTCCCCGACAACCGTTTCCCCGACAGGACGTTTCCCCGACAAGATTTTGCTAACTATATTTAATATTAATTGGCTAATAAATGACTTAAACAGCTTAATCGCCTAATGAATGGGTTAATAGACTTAAATGGTTTGATAAGCTTAGCCGGCTATTGCATGACAGGGAAACAAATAAATATTGTAATACAAAATGTATTTGTCGGGGAAACGTCCTGTCGGGGAAACGGTTGTCGGGGAAACGTCTAGGTACCTTAATAAAGTGTTCAACTTCGATTGATGAATTATCATAATCATATAAATCATCGTTTTGTGAGGCGGAGTACGATCTCGAGTATTAGGATCTTTGCTAGCCGTTTCCTTTCATTCTTGAAATTACATTTGTGAGTGATATAAAGACATAGAATTTTTAATCAGTACTTGTAAGAGATATAGATGCAGGAACAAGAGGTGCATAAAGAGAGCATAGATAAACATACCAATAATATTATTAGAAACTGATCTTGGGAAATTTCCAATCTAAGACACCATAATTGAGCAAGTTAATATAATGTGATGCTGGTTTTTCATCGAATACATATTTTTTTAAAAAAATAACATGAAGGGATTCTATTATAACTATCTTTCAAAATGTAAGGGTATTCAGCTAGATCCCCGGTCGTCGTAACAAAAATACGGAATATTATAGTAATGAAAAAGAATACCCAGCGCTAATGCATTATTTGGGCTCCAGTCCCGTGCAATAATTTCAATGTCCTTGTCATGACCATGCAAATTTTTTGATGCAATGTGATAGAGATCACCCATGCATTTTTCGACATATTTGTATTGAGAATTATTAACATGTTTGCTTTAAAAATGATACAAACGTTGCATCTTGTGTCAATTTCATTAAAACATTGTCTGTAGGATCACGAAATGAAATAGTCTTGTCCTGCGACTAAATCTATTGAGAGAGTAAACAAAATAATTGTAAAATATACAACAAATATGCAGAATGTTACCATTGATCTGATGAACTCTAAAGCACCTTTCGCATTACATGCCCTTTTTTGTCGTAAGAGAAGTTCAGTGCAGTATTTGGCCTCATGCTTAAGATTCGTAATATTATGTGATAGTTTTGACCTCTCCTGACTTTTTTTTCCATTAAATTCATTTTTTCCTGTTCTTTTTCCTGCATTAGATCCTTTGTTAATTCCACATTGAAGTTTACAAATTTGAAGTAAATGTACCAATTGATTATTTTTGATCATTGGGCAATTCGTCAAAAAGTGGAGACAAGTTATATTTATTGATGAAAGAGAATGATAATCTACATAGTGGTCACAAAGGGACAATGACCCTTCAACTAATAAACTAATAAACAATAAGTGTTTTTCGAATGAAAGAAGAAAGGTATAAGATTTCTCGTTTATTTACCAGAGGTCTTAGCAATCTTAAACGTAAAAACGTTTCATTACTTGGATAAAGAAGATAAATTTCTGATAAAGAAAATTTTTTTTACGATAATAATAACAATAAATGAAAAAAACGAGTCCGTGTTCAAAAGCCACATCATTTAATTTACAACGTAATTCATTATTCATAATAATAATAAATGAATTCGTCATTAATTTTTTAGGATTAATTGACGATCAACCTATATCAGGCAATTTTCGAAAATTTTTGTTCGAGAAAACTAATTTCGCACAAGTTTCGGATTCAGATTAGGCGAAAGTGTTATGTTTCGCTCGAAACACTATTTACTACAAAAACGTTATATTAATGTGTTTCCTGTTAGGAAAATTAGGCATTCTATTTGGGAGTTGGACTAGGAAAATTTTTTTCTAAAAATAGATTTGATATGATTTTACTAATAAAAATCATGTGTAACAAATGCTGAGGGGTCGATTTTCCTAGTCCAACTCCCATTTTATTTTAATTCATCTGTTGATATGGATAAATCAATCTTCTCAGATGTAGAAAAATTTGTATTATTGATGAAACTACAAATAGTTAATTATCAATGTAAATTAATTGTCAATGTTGAAAAGTCAAAGAATTTGTTAATCTAAATATATTATTTTGTGTTACACTAGTCCTTATATATATAAAATTGTGGCTAAAAAAAAAACGAAAATTTTTTTTTAATTTTTAAAGATGTAGAACACTTTAGATGAAAAAAAAATAAACATCATGATGACAAAAATGATGATAATGAATATTCAAAGGAAAGAAGCAAAGAATATGGGGAATGTCCAACCTGCAATAGATATAATACCAGTTTCAATCATGCAATCCAAAGCTATTAACTAAAGGATATACCAGTGACAATGAAACATTAAATGAGTTGATTTAAAAGCACACAACTTAAAGCAACAAGATATGATAAATTTCAGTATCTTCAATGGATTCCTTAACAAATATTGAAGGGATAGTTTGCAACTACATACAAAGTTACTTGATTAAATGATTGGAAATATGAAGATCATGGAAAAAGAAATATTAGTGATGGGCTGTGGCATTAAAAAGATTGCATAATTCGCAGAATATTTTTGATGAATTTCTTAATGAAGCAAATTATTTTATCAACACTAGTTTCAGATTTTTTAAAGAATTATTCTGAAATTCAATATATATATTTTTTAGTTCAGAAATTATGTCATATTTATCATAATTTATATTTATGGATTAACACAAGATCCAGCTACAAAAGAATATATTTTGTAATGTATTAATTACATGGAAGATAAAAAGTCTTCAAAATTATGAAGATCCATATATTAGAAAAGAAATGTATGGGGAATGCCCAACTTGCAATTGACACAATACTGCTCTGGTATGGCGCCAATCATGTGATCCAAAGCTATTAACCAAAGGACGGACCAATGACAATGAAATATTAGATGAGTTGATTAAAAGTACACAACTTAAATCAACACTTTATAATAATTTTTATCTTCAATGGATTCCTTATAATGATTTAACAAAATTGAAAAGATTGGTGAAGGTGGTTTTGCTCTTATATCCAAAGCTACTCAGTTAAATGTTTATAAAAGTGTAAATTATAATAATGAAAGAATTAGTAAAGATATGCATGTGTGCATTAAAAAAACTGATAAATTTCTTAATGAGGTAAATTATTTTATTAAATACTAGTTTCAGATTTTTTAAAATATTATTGTTATAATTAAATATTTATTTGTTATTTTAGTTCAAAAATTATGTGAAGTTTCAAAAAGGATATATAATTCGTATTTATGAATTAACACAAGATGCCATTACAAAAAATATACCTTTGTAATACACATCACATGGAAGATGGAGGTCTTCAAAACAATGAATATTTAAAGGAAAGGAACAATATGGGGAATGTTCAAACTGAAATAGACATAATACTTGTTGGGCATGATGTTGATCATGTGATCAAAGCTATTAACTGAAGGATGGATTAGTGACAATGAAGTATTAGATGAATTGATTAAAAGTACACAATTTGAATCACTTATGTATGACTATGAATATTATTATCTTTTGTGGATTCCTCATAATGATTTAACAAATATTGAAAAGATAGGTTTACAACTATATACAAAGCTCCTTGGTGAAAAAATGTAAATTATAACAATAACAAAAGGATTAATGAAGATAGGATTGTGCATTACATAATTCATAGAATACTTCTGATAAATTTCTTAATGAGGTAAATTATTTTGTTAATATTAGTTTCAGATTTTTTAAATTTTATTATCATTGTTGTAATCAAATAATTTATTTGTTTTTTAGTTCGAAAATTATACAAAGTGTGTATAATTAAAAAATTATAGATTAACTCGAGATCCAATTATATATTTGTAACCATGCAAAATGAGTATCATATCTATTGCAGGTTGGATATTCCCCATAATATTCTTTTCTTTTATATAAACCTTTATAATTTTTGAAGGCTTCCATCTTCTTGTATTGGAATATTCATTATCTTCAATGGGTTCCTTATAATTATCTGACAAATAAAGTTCCGAACTGACCGGATTCGGGCGGATTGAGCGTTAACTCGAAGCCGACTCGAGATTTCGGTTCGGTTTCGAGTTCGATTCGAATGTTTTAAAGGCAAACCTGAGACCGACTCGAAAATTTCGAAAATTTTGTGATTTACATAGTAATAGATTTAGATAAATTTTCTGAAATACAGTTATATCGGTTTAAGTCGCAATTGGTGTGCATGACGCAAAACACAATTCGTGATGTAAAGAAATGCAAGACGCAATTCGTGACTCAATTATCCCCATAAAAAAATTAATTTGTTATTTGAATTTTAGATAAATTTGCAACAGTTGTCTTTTCCTTTGTAATCTTTCCGTGATTTTTCCATGATGCATTTCTGGAGAATTTTAAATCATGGATCAGTTTTTTTACAGGATAACCCATAATTTAGCATTTAGAAAATTTTGGTTTAGGCCTGTTGTATGTGAAATTGAAATTATGTGAAATTGAAATATTATGGAGTGGGGTGAAATTCTGATTGGCTAATTTGAATTCACACATGTAAATTTGAATTTCACATATGTGAATTGCGAATTCACATAATTTCATTTTCACGTACAACAGGCCCATGAAATCTTCTGGCGAAATTGGCGAAATGCTTATTACAAAACGAATTATTTCTAAAGAAATCATTTTGTATTAATTTTTCTGCCTCTACTCAAAACTTTGAGTTATTAATAAAATATTTAATTGCCCGATTGATTAATTAATTGGTGACATTATTTTTACGATAATCTTTAATTATTTTTGTAAAATAAACAAATAAAATATTAAATGTAAGATGATGCGAATATAAAATATTAAAATACGGATATTATTAAAGCAAAAGAGACCATAAATCCGTTTTATATAAATCTCTGCTCGTACGTTTAACGATTTAATCACAGTTTAAAATTTTCACCTATAGCTTAGGAGTTTCGCCCACAGTTTAGGCAATTTTAAGTTTCGTCACTAGTTTAGGAGCCTAAATTTCTAATTTCTAATTTCTGAGAGACTTTACATGCTTAAAGATTGAATATTTAGAAACCATAATTCATTCATTTATTTTTTTCTATACAAATATTAAAAAATTTCTATTCTTTGAAATAGTTTTTCCCATTAAACGATATTTCTTCATGATACTTTATAATATTAGTTTTTTAATTAATAATAATAATATTAAAAATACACAATAAAAAACCCACCCAAAATTTTAAATTAATTATAATAAATCTAACATATTCCTAATTCATTACCAACTTTCTTTAAACATTCTTTTAATAAAGCAGTTATCTTTTCATCAGGAATCGAAATAGCTTCACAAATAACCGGATATAAATAAAATAAATGTGCATTTGATCCTGATAAAATTTCTTTTTTCAATAGACCTATTAAATTATTGATAATCATTACTGTTATTATTGATATATGTAAATGGTGTAAATGATAAGTATATAAAAAAATTTGTTTTACTTTTTGTAGATTTTCCATCTTCAAAGTTTAATACATTTGAACGAAATCGTAATTTAATCAATTGTTGCAAGATTAATAAGATTTCATCATTTTGTACCCTGGAAGAAAGGCTAAAATTTGTAAATAATCATGTAATATTAACCAAACCGAAGAAAACAAAACTTTTATATAGTTAGATATAAAAAGAAAATGCCCAACTATTAACCTTGGAAACGGATATTTTCCATGCAATGGTTGATCAGCTGTATAGTTTCTTATTACCGAAGCACATCGTTCTAAAAGTATTGGTGCAACAACTTGTGCAATACGATGTCCTATATCACCTTCGTCTATATTTTATTTGTAATAATTATTAAATGAAATATTTATATACATATGAAAATTATTTCAATTCTTTACCTTCTTCATTTTGTTCAGAACATAAATCAAATAAACATTGTAGACAGGCATATGCAAATTTTTCTCTTACTACAGGAATAATTCTTGCAGTTGTACCTTCAACTTTATCAGATAATTTTTTATTTTGAATTGTTAATGGGGATAACTCATTTGATGATGATAATAAATTGTTATTTAATTCTCCATCGATATTATTTTGCCTTTCTTCTATAAAAGTTTCATAAAGTTTTGAGCCTTCTTTCAAAGTTTCTACCATACTTTTGATTAGTTCTTGCGGTACATATGGATGACCAATATGAATTATTACTTCAGAATGTAGTTTAAATAGAAACTTCATATCAAACGCTTCGTCTATATCTTGTTGTTCAAGTTTCAATGA